ATGCCACAAAGAGAGGAATAGAGTTAGTGCCTAGTAAGAGTCTAACATTTTTATCAGAGAGAAAGCTTACGGACTAGCAACTTTGTTAGTCTCTAAGGTGCCACAAGTACTCCTGTTCTTTTTACTATTTTTTGCGGGGTGGGGGAGGGAAAGGGAGATCTGTTAGAATTTTTTTTTTTTTTTTTTTTTTTAAGTCTGCTGTTGGTCAGAAAAGGGAGGAACTGCATTGGAAATTGAGACCCTCACTGCTTTATAATAATAATAATAAATAATTAATTTTAAAAAAGCTTGTAATTCAAAAGCCCAGCATGAACAAAAGCTGACTGAGCACCTGAATTCTGTTCATTTTGCTTTTTCTCTTGTAGGATTTTGCGTTTTAAGAAGGAGTCTCCAACTCTGCAACCAAAGGAGCCACCTCCCTCCCTGCTGGAAGCAGATCTAACTGAATTTGATGTGAAGAATTCCCACTTGCCATCAGAAGTTCTGTACATGCTTAAAAATGTCAGGTAAGGTTGAAGTGAAAGATCGAGGCTTGATCTTGATATGTGCTAAACGGGTGTAAATCAGCAGTAACTCCAGCGAAGTCACCAAGCGTTACCAGTGTGAAATCAGAATCCGACTCTTTAATGAATTTAAGTAGGTGGCGTAAGACTTTTCAAGTGGGAAAAAATAATACTGATTTGCAGTTGCCAAGAAGCATTAGGTAAGGAAAGGAAGAGGGTGGTCAGATGGACTAGGTTTGGGAGTAAAAATGCTGAGCTCTGCTAGATTGAATAGATTTCTGTTAATGCTCTTTCTGTGCCTTTTGAAACTCTTTTTGGACTTTTTTCTATATTGCTACGGATATGTGTAACAAAGGGCAGTAGGACCATTTTGGTATATTCAGTGTCAGACTGACAGCTCTGCAGATTTGCCACGAGCAGAAGCAGCAGTAGTACAAACTTACACACCTTGCTCCTAGAGGGACCAGCTTGAGGGAAGGAGAGTTCACTTTTCATGTTCATTCAGTCTGGCATCTGCATCTCTTTGCTGAGATAGTTAAAGGAGCCAGTCACCTCGATTATTTTGCTTGTTATATTTTTTTTGAGAAGTGATCATAGAATCATAGAAGATTAGGGTTGGAAGAGACCTCAGGAGGTCACGAAGTCCGACCCTCTGCTCAAAGCAAGACTAACCCCAATTAAATCATCCCAGCCAGGGCTTTGTCAAGCCGGGCCTTAAAAACCTCTAAGGATGGAGATTCCACTACCTGCCTAGGGAACCCATTCTTGTGCTTCACCATCCTCCTAGTGAAATAGTTTTCCCTAATATTCAACCTAGACCTCCCCCACTGTAACTTGAGACCATTGCTCCTTGCTCTGTCATCTACCACCACTGAGAGCAGTGGACTTCTGTCCATTAAGAGCTAACCTGAGATAATTCTTTCACTTTATGTAGGTGACTAAACAACCTCTGCATCTTTCCTCTCCTCTCTGTAGGTTTGTGGATGTTTTCATGCCATGACCTTGAAGACTAAATTATAGCATAGTCTTTGTCTTCCTTGGCCATCTAATAGAGTTACTGTTAGTCATCTAGGCTTTTATCTATGGGCTGATGGCACAATTAATATGTATTATTCTTCACACATTTTATGGGTCAGTTAAATTCCACTGCAACTTGAATTTGTCACAGGAGAAATTTTTTTTAAAAATCTACATTCTAGATTCTTAGAGAGCCCTTTTCGGTGCTGTGTACTGACAGGAAATGAGGGTAGAGACTGGTGTTGCTGCTTTTGCCTGTGTGAGTGCATGATTTGATTGTGGTGAGAGAGCCTGCTTGCATGTTCCCTGAGAGGGGTGGCTTATCACAAACTCCCAAATACTCCTGTGAAACTGGCATTTTCCTCCTCCTCCGTTCTGACATTTTTTCTGGTGAGTTCGCTGTTCTAGTTACATTAGTGAACAGAGAAGTTCTCTGGGTGATTTTCTTCATCAAGTGTGTGGGTATGTTTCAGGCTTCTAGGGTCACCCAATGAAATAAATAGGCAGCCGGTTTAAAACAAACAAAAGGAAGTACTTCTTCACACAATGCACAGTCAACCTGTGGAACTCCTTGCCAGCGGATGTTGTGAAGGCCAGGACTATAACAGGGTTCAAAAAAGAGCTAGATATATTCATGGAGGATAAGCCTATCAATGGCTATTTGGCAGGGATGAAAAACAATGCTCTGAAGTGTCCCTAGCCTCTGTTTGCCAGAAGCTGGGAATGGGCAACAGGGGATGGATCACTTGATGACTACCTCTTCTGTTCATTCCCTCTGAGGCACCTGGCATCGGTCACTGTAGGAAGATAGTATCAGAGGGGTAGCCGTGTTAGTCTGGATCTGTAAAAAGCAACAGAGTCCTGTGGCACCTTTAAGACTAACAGATGTATTGGAGCATAAGCTTTCGTGGGTGAATGCCCACTTCGTCGGATGCATGTCACATGCATCTGACAAAGTGGGCATTCACCCACGAAAGCTTATGCTCCAATACATCTGTTAGTCTTAAAGGTGCCACAGGACTCTGTTGCTTTTTGTAGGAAGATAGGATACTGGGCTAGATAGACCATTGATCTGACCCAGTAGGACCTTTCTGACATTCTTCTCCACATTCCCACCTTCAAAGGCCACACATCAACTTTTGGCTGAGGAGGGCAGGTTGTGGATGCCTTTAGTAGTTAATGGAGATATCCCATCTCCTAGAACTAGAAGGGACCTTGAAAGGTCATCAAGTCCAGCCCCCTGCCTTCACTAGCAGGACCAAGTACTGATTTTGCTTCAGATCCCCAAGTGGCCCCCTCAAGGATTGAACTCACAATCCTGGGTTTAACAGGCCAATGCGCAAACCACTGAGCTATCCCTCCCCCATCAGGCAGAGTGCTGACCAGAGGGCCTTGCTTGAAAGCAATCCCAAATCTTTCCATCCCTGCAAGCATCACACAGTGCTCCTGCTCTTCTGGCTCAGAAAGTTCTGTCCTTCATGTGGCTGCATATGGCATGGGACTGCCAGGTTACCTCATGGATTCCCACAGTATTGGTACCATGAGGCTTTGCTAGTTTAGGGAGGACTGTCATGCACCATGGCATCTGCAAGCTTCCTTTTGCAGCAGAGAAGGTGTCACTGATCCTTTGCTTTCCTGCAGGGTTCTTGGCCATTTTGAGAAACCTCTCTTCCTGGAGCTGTGCAAGCACATGTTTTTTGTGCAACTGCATGAAGGTGAATACATCTTCCGTCCCGGGCAGCTGGATAACAGCATCTACGTCGTGCAGGATGGCAAGCTAGAAGTTTGCATTCAAGAAAGTGTAAGGATAAGCCCATCCACTGACTCTTTTGATAAATCTCTTATTAGTATAGCATATGGCTAGAGATAAACATCTCCATCATGTAATAACTTGGAATAGGCTGTATTAGCTCCTGTAAGGCAAGTGTTAAGCTTTCTGGCAGCCTATAATTCATTAGGCCAGTGGTTCTCAATCAGGGATATATGTACCCTTGGGGGTACTCAGAGGTCTTCCAGGGGATACCGGGGGAGAGGAGGGGATCTACCGGGGGGAGGGGGTCTACCGGGGGGTGGGAGGGGGTAGCTCAGTGGTTTGAGCATTGGCCTGCTAAACCCAGGGTTGTGAGTTCAATCCTTGAGGGGGTACTTAGGGATCTGGGGCAAAATCAGTACTTGGTCCTGCTAGTGAAGGCAGGGCGCTGAACTCAATGACCTTTCGAGGTCCCTTCCAGTTCTACGAGATAGGATATCTCCATATATTAAAAAAAATGATACATCAACTCATCTAGATATTTGCCTAGTTTTACAACAGGCTACATAAAAAGCACTAGTGAAGTCAGTACAAACTAACATTTCGTACAGACAATAACTAATTTATACTGCTCTAGAGACTATACACTGAAATGTAAGATATATATTCCAATCAATTTATTTTATAATTGTATGGTAAAAATGAGAAAGTCAGCAATTTTCAGTAGTAGTGTGCTGTGACACTTTTGCATTTTTATGTCTGATTTTTGTAAGCAAGTAGTTTTTAAGTGAGGTGTAACTTGGGCGTACGGAAGACAAATCAGACTCATAAGTACATAAGAATGGCCATACTGGGTCAGACCAAAGGTCCATCTAGCCCAGTATCCTGTCTTCTGACAGTAGCCAATGCCAGGTGCCCCAGGGGGAATGAACAGAGCAGGTAATCAAGTGATCCATCCCCTGTTGCCCATTCCCAGCTTCTGGTAAACAGAAGCTAGGGACAACATCCCTGCCCATCCTGGCTAATAGCCAATGACCATCCTGGCTAATAGCAATACTCCTGAAAGGGGTACAGTAATCTGGAAAGATTGAGAGCCAGTGCATTCGGCAACATGGTCATCAACAATGAGGAGTCCGGTGGCACCTTAAAGACTAACAGATTTATTTGGGCATAAGCTTTCATGGGTAAAACCCCCCATTTCTTCAGATGCATGGAGTGAAAATTACAGATACAGGATGGTGTTTTCAGGATGATCACCAATGCATTGTAGTTTCCTCAGGAAGTCAGTGGTGTCTCAAAGATAGCTAGGTACTTGGCACCATGCAAGGCACTGAATTTAGCCGTATGAAGTGTCTCCCACAGTATTCTTGCCACCAAGTTAAAGAAGTATGGGCTGGATGAATGGACTGTA